TGAGCAAGAACGCTCATTTGTACATCATTCTAGACAGAAATAAATGGCCTTTTTAGAAAGTGAACCATGGATGGGGAATTGTTGGCAGTTTTCTCGAAAAATGCTTGAATTCAAGAAGTTTTAGATTTGACCCCCATGACCCCCCCCCCCTGGATCCGCCCTTGCTTGATGTAGCGTTTTTTGTATTTTCATTGAGGTTCACTAAACCATCAATTGTTACCGAAGTTCAACTTATCCGTTTTATTAGTAATATTTTTTGAACAATTCCATGTAGAGAAACAGCCCCAGAAGTGTCAGGCGTGATGCTGGCTCGCGGAGCCCTAATCAAACCTTGGATTTTCACGGAAATTAAAGAAGCAAGATTATGGGATATTTCAAGTAAAGAACGATTTGATATCGTTAAAAAGTACGTCGATTATGGACTAGAGCATTGGGGCTCAGATAGCAGGGGCGTCGAGAACACAAGGAAATTTTTACTGGAATGGTTGTCGTTTTTGTACCGCTACGTGCCAGTGGGGCTTCTGGAGCGACCTCCCCAAAAGATCAATGACAGACCGCCGTTTTATAGAGGCAGAGATGACTTAGAGACGTTGATGGCCTCTCCAGCTGCTTCCGATTGGATTAAATTGAGTGAAATGTTGTTGGGGAAAGTACCCGATGGTTTCAAATTTATACCAAAGCATAAAGCAAATTCGTACGAATAAAATCAGCAAAATTTTACGATTTTTTCTGTGCTTCACAGCTGAAACGTAGATTAGATATTGGAGACAGGGAAAGAGGAGTTGCTGGTTTTTATCAGTCCTAACAACCATTTACTCTCTATAAAACATTCCTATGCAGGCATCACTCTTAAATCATTAAATAAAGTTGAGATGTTATTTATTGTCTTTCTGCCCTTTTTGATCTTGCAAATACTGTAAAAGATCGTTCATTCCGCTGAACTCCGTTCTGCCTTGGGGTGGGTCATTTTTGGGGATTCGAGGCAAGGCCTCTCCCATTTTCGACCGGAATTCAGCAAACTACAAGTAATGTGTACACGATCAACAGTCACGTTTCAAACTTGAAATTGCTGATGAGATTACATACGCTGTGGGCTCCTGACAGTTTCCAAATTGCGTAAAATAGCACTCCGCACCCTGTAAAAGCATAGAGCGTACCCCAACCTAGTGCCTTCATGGCCAAAACAGCACCCGTTTCAGGCAATTCTCGGGACGGCATAAAACCTTTTCCAAAATACTTGGGATCCCGTTTCTTGGCTGCAATAACAGTGGCTCCAAAGCCAAATACGGCTGAGGCTCCGGAAACTGCCGCTAGGAACAGGCCGGCTGAAAACGCCCAATATCAAACAAGGAACCGACCCCTAGAATAGAAATAGTCAAATTTACCTTTAACCCTGAATTGCTTTGACTCCGCATTTTCAGTTGAAGTACTAGTGTCCATCGCGGTGGAATGTTCTTTTATAGACCCATATCAAGAAACTATTTGGTAAAATTAAGTAATATACATTGAGGTTAACTGGTGATTTTCTGTTATTTATCTGAACATAGGCACACACACAGATTATCAAACTACTCACTATTCGCCAGTTCAACTACCGATGGTCGCGACTTGTTCATTTGTTGGAGTTGATGAGATTTATAACATAAGAGAATGATTACACACTCCGATCTGCTTCTATTGCTTTAAAAGCTTGCAAAAGTTGATTTTTTTTTACATTAAATTTGGTTTTGGCACTATAACTTTCTTTGACGGTGTCTGTATACTTTATAAGTGGTATAAACTTTAGTTCCAAAAATTCATAACTTTCTGTTCATTCCTATTTGTTATGTAAAAAGGACTCTTGCCAGAGTCTAAATACATTTTTCTTGAGACGTCGGAGAGACTTCTCTGAGGCTGTATTTTACTGGTAAAGAGTTATACTACAAAGTACAGTAAATGAAAATTTCATTACTGACTGACTAAAAAAAGTTATGGTACTATTTTCGTGAAACAAAACTAAATTAATTATTGAAAATTATCAAAACGCTGAAATCGACGGCTTTTTTTAATTTTTTTTTAACTTTTTAACTTTTTTCAATAGCATCAACGGTTCAAAAATTATGCACAAAAAACGGGCTTTCGCACTGTCTTTAATTATTTATAAATAATTGTTTATAAACAATGTTCCACAGCCGGAAATCGAGCACAACCTATAGACTCAATATTCTGTCATCCTTCCGAACAACTTCCAATAATCTTTTACCATCATTTTTCAGTGTCCGAAACAGGCCTTTTAAAGTCTAATCCATAGAGAAAGTAAAATTACTTACTCTATGGTCTAATCCGACTGGACTCAAAATACGCTTCAGCCCGGTTTCAGGTACAAAACCAATATTTATCATAGGCGAAAATAACATGACTAAAAATCACAGATACTTGGAACAGTCAGACATGGAACCTGTGACTGTTTTAGCCACAGGATCGAAGATTTCGTTAATTAATGCACAGATCGCAGAGGTTATTAGTAGACTCCATGAGATAGAGAAAGTCAAATAGTAGCTATAAAAATATAAAATAAAACTATAATAACTGTTCAAGCATTTTAGACAAAAGTAGGTATATTACACATTTATTGTTTGGGCAAATACAAATATCACGTTTCAAAGTAAAAAAGTTATAACTAAAGGTAACGTAACTATCTCTATTTGACACTTATGAAACTGGGACAGCAGGTTTTACATTTTTCATTGAATGTCGAATTGTTTTGAAAAAAATGATATTTGTCGCCGCCATAGCAAGCGCGAAGAGATGAAGATTAAAAGTTCTGCCTGTTAGCGCTGGGGTTGCTTGATTGCCACTAATGATAAACAGAGGAAATATTATGGAAAATACACAGCCATTAATAAGCCAGGAGTTGGAAATTTGTGTTAGCAATGCCAGAGGTAGTCCAAACCCGATAAAATATGGCATGTTTTCTTCTAAAAACGACAGTCTTTTATCCAATACCCAACCCAGATTGAACCATTTATACTCAAAAGAATAGAGCGAATACAGCAATGCCATTTGAACTGTGTATAACGCCTGTCCTAATGGATATATCGGAATAATATAGCTTGTCAACGTGGCTTGTAATAAGAAGAGACTCTGAACCACTGCGCTGAAAACCGAATCTGCAAAATACATTGCCCTGCTCGGGAATGGCACTGGGCGCCCTCGGGTGTGCCGGAAAGCTGAATTCGCTATATCCTGGAACCAGAGCGTGTTGATAATTTTGCTCAACAGAAACAATGGCACGAGCCAAGCGGTTTGAAAAATGACCACCATGAGGTCCTTAACCCAAGACCATACTTTTGCAGTTACAAATGAATCCTCACTAAACAGACAGATGAACATGAATCCTATGCCGGGCAATAGAATATATTCAAATATCAGAACACTGAGCAGATAAACTCCGCCATTCAGAAGTGCACATTGCAGTAGATTCTGGACAATTTTGGAACCATCATTGGTTTTCGCTTTTCTAGGTGGGCAAATACTTGGGGACTGCCTTTGTCTGATCGTGGAGGGAAACGTGCTCCTTTTCTGTGCGCGTTCATTGATCTCCTTATCCAAGTAGAAAATTGCTACCATACCCCTGACACTGTCGTACAGACCTTTTGCCACCGCTGAAGGTATTGAGGGCCCCATAATATGTTGTATTTGCTAATCGGTATTGGCTGTCCTGTTTTACTCATTTAACTTGTCCGGCTTTCACGGCAAATCCACTGTTATCTATTGAGAAAAAATTAATGGACTTATAAAAGACCGTGTTAAAACTTACCTGAATCTCTTCTCGTTGGGCTCCGTCTCGGTCGCAGACAACAAGCAAAACATTCAGAGTACAGATATTTACGATTGCAATGACAATAGTTGAATAATTACGCGCACATCGAAAACTACTTCGAAATCAAGCACATACACTCTAACCTTCAATTTGATGCTGCTCACTTCGTACATAGATAAAGACTGATAAACATAGATAAAGACAAGCTGATAAAGACAAGACAATAGAGAGTTATTGGTCGGCCAATACGTTCATGCAGTATTATAGTTTGCGCTATTTTGACACAAACGCCTGCGCAAATCAGTCTAAAAAATAAGTACTGCAAAATTAAAGTACTGTTTTGTAGTATTTGTTCCCCGATACCGCACGTTTTATTTTCTACGTTAAACTGGCAGTTGACATTTCTGACGTCCGCTTGCAGGTTATTTCCTTATAAACATAACCCAGTTTCACCCATTTCCAATTGACCACTTGTTTACATATGTGAACATTACGTTTAACTACGTATTAAATCTTGTATTACTTATACAATTGGTTCAAAATGCCACATTTTTGCAGTGTCGTTAAATGCGCAACGAGATACGGTTTCTTTTGTCCGATTTTAGCGCGACATAGAAGAGAGATGATTTGAATGCTTTCTCTAGTGAACGTCGAAATGTTTGTGTTAAGGCTTTAAAACGGGTGCCTTTGGGTGAAATCTTTGTGAGAAATGATCGTATTTGCTTACGACATTTCATAACTGGTAAGTATTTGTGCAAAAAAGTGATTTTTGCTACTGTTTATGTTTGATTGAAGGAAAACCAGCTGCCTTAGAAGACAAAACTAATCCAGCTGTGTTGCCCAACGAAAATTTAGGAAACATTTGTAGTCTCTAACCAGGTCAATCTGCCTCCCTACTCCCTATTTACAAGGTTTTTAAAAAGAGCTAGAATGAAACCAGAGGTTGGTTGTTAAAAACATTAAAAGGGATAATGCTTTTAAGCTGCTGTTTTTAGGTCCGAGCTGAAGTTCTTTCTGCATGGTGTACAAGAATTTGATAGTGTTTCACAATTTATTGAAGAAAACTGAGCAAAGCAGGTTTATGGAAGCTGTGTTAGTGAGTCAGTTCAAACTGATGTACCTAACTGAAGAATATTCAAGTCGTGTTTTTCAGAACTTAGATTTTTGCAATTCAATAATGTACACCTTGCAAGCAAAAGTTCAAGTGATGGATGTAAATGAGAATTATGTTAAAAATAAATGCTTTATCCCTAACGTGTGTAGCTGATATCTCTTGAACCGTGCCAGACTCAGTATACTTGTAAACTTGCGAATCTTTATAAGCCTTGAGCTGTAATCCAATGTAAAAACTACGGCTTTAAATTAAGTAATTCACCAAATACGTCGTGATGCTGTGGAGAACTTATAAATATCAAGCCGTAATGACCAAGGGGGATTAAACAAGGGTCAAAAACTTCAGTTTGTTGATCGTATCTGTTCCTCGTATCTCCACTAAGCCTTGAATAGTATGCACTTCAAGACATAGTTATACTCATCGGGCATTTGTTCTAAATAAAAATATTCTCTTTCCTCAGCCTGATAACCACCCCTGTTTATAAATATAAGTATTATCAAAAATGTAATATTCAAGTTCATTTTCACTTGCTCCGCCTATGACTGCGGCTTCTAGAATTTCCTTCATTATAACAATTGAGCGTAAATGTTCAACAGCAACCAAAATCCAATTGAAAAGGTCAAAAATGCAAATACGCCAACGTAAAATGATTAATAATAAATTGTGTAAGGTTAGGTTACACAATAACACATGTTTAATACTAAAAGCTGTGAACTAGGCATTCCAATAACTATCATTTCGTTACAAAAATATCGCAAATGCAGTATTAAAATAAGGAATAACATTAGTACTGCATAACAGTATTTAGCATGTCCAATCAGAGGTCCAATAACTCTCTAATAGTAAAGGGTTGTGAATTATGAAGATAATAGGTGAAGATCGACGAATACTTTCACAGTGTAGCATTTTTGAACGGGTTTCTGTTGAAAATATTATTTTTAATTGTCTTTCAATCATGTTTGCAATATTAGGATTTTTTTAAAAAGTTTCAAGTTTTGAAGTTGCTAACATAAACCAATATTCGTTCGTCTGTGTCAAAAGCCGCCACTTTTTTTTAAATTATGAACGAAAATACATTTGACAACACGGCAGGCCGTGGCCCGTGGCCAACACATAGGAGACTAATTCCCCTGAAAGAGCTTATTGACATTCAAACGAGTTTTTTGATACCACGTAATGCATAATTTTGTTTTCAGTGAATATTGAAGATAGAAATTTTTTCGTTACATGATATTAATCTAATCGCCTGATCAGGACGTAGCAGTAAGTAAATTTTGTGCTTTAATATTTCATCACAGTTGCTTTGTTGTCATTTCGCGGTTTTCACCCCGGCTATACAGGACTAACCTGAAATATACTTCGCTTTCAGGGAATAAGCTAGAAAACTCTGTTGTTTTAAAGGCACATTTCGATACTAATATAATTTACTAAAAATGAGAACTTGCCACTTCATAACTTGGGCAACGCTTTAAAACACAACTTTAGGAACCAGGCCCTGCTGCAATTTAATTACGCTTTTTGGCTGTATACAATATGCAAGCAATAGCTAGAGTAGAACAGCACGTAGGATTGTATTCTTTCACATAGTTAGAGCCCCTTTGTATTTCGTGATGTCTGATAAAGTAACGGGAGCTTTGCTGCCGCCATTGAAACCTACTTGTCCAATGCACCATAGAAGAGAAGCAGTTTGGAGAAAGCCACTGTCGAATATTATCTGTTTTACTATTTTCCTTTGGTAATGAAGAAATCGAGGCAATAGTGTAATGTTGAAAAGTTTATGTAGAAGTTACATATGTTGACAAAGCTGTTACGTAAGAACTATCTATTTAAAAAAGTATTCAACCATATATATCCACATCCAGCCTTTTTGCTCAATTATGACTTATTTTAACCATTTAAGTGCGAATATCGAAATAGAAATTTATCTTTTTAACTTTAAAAAGGCAAAAACACGTTTGAATGGAATTATAACTTATTGCTTTAGTAAATTTTGTTGTTTCCTTACACGATTATTGACAAAGTGAACAGGACATCAACAAAATATGAATTTTCCCTTTCAAAAGCTACTTTAGATTAATTATTTAATTTAACGTAAATTTAATTAATTATTAATTAAAAACGGGTTAATTATCTAAAACAAATTATTTTGGCAAATAGTAAAATGTTCTTTTTCCTTGACAAACCGCCGCCCGCCAACAAATCGCGAGGTAACATTACACATCAATTTAAAGATGGCGCTGTGAGTCATCATAAGGCAAAAACACTGGAGAATATTCGCGAATTCAACTACAGAGCGGAGCGCTGCGAAACTTAAACAAATACTCGTATCCAGTGGCGGGCGTTAAGAGAAATTTTCTCTCGCCCAACGACTAGCCATATAAATAGCAATATAAATAATTGCGAATTCAATAATCGGATCAAATTCGACAGTAATGATAGTGAACGTGGAATTATTTCACTACCTTATAAAAGTTTTATTCACTGTTTATAATGTTATTTCCGTTAATTTAAATATTTTTAATCTACTTTCGTTCAGGAAACGGAATTATTCAATTCAAAAAATACGTATGTTTACAATAGTTTTTATTACAATTGTGAACTATAATTTTTTATCATTTATTTCGTTATTCTACGAAAGTAGATACAATCTCGTATAATATTTGTGTTGTAAATTCGTATTGGGACACTCAAGGTATTGTCAAACTCTGTTAGCTCCGTGTTTGACATGTCGTTATAAGTGCTTACTGAAAATGGACCTTTGGAACGCTCGTATCTTAAATAAAAATAACAAAAAAATATTTTACATTATATTCTGCCAAAGAAGAAAACCAAATATTTTGTAAAAAATATATTCATATTATATCAAACTCTTACCATTCATTAAAAGTATAAATATCTCCTGCTCATCTTGAAAATATGTTTCCAAGCGGAAAATAAAGGTGGCGCCGCCACTGCTCGTAGCGAGTGACATGTAAACAATGACCATGACCGAATGTATACGAAAATGTCAAATGTTACTCGTTAAGTGTAGGGTATATTTAGCCTCCAGTTGGCGTTTTTTAATTCGCGATTACTCAAAATACTTACAATGCAAATCAAACAAGTCATGAAAAATTAAATCTGTGTATGTAAAAATAAATTTATTTTTAACCACTGAAAATGTATTCTCTCTTTTACGACGCGGCGCTAAACTTAAGTACTAGTATTATGAAGTACAGTAAAGTCCGCTTATAATGAACCCGGTTATAGTGAACTTTCGGTTAAAACGAACTTTTTTCCTTTAATTGAAACGTGGTCCATAAAGACCAACGTATTTTTTTACTGGTTTAACGAACCCGTTTATAACGAACTTCCGGATATAACTATCACTTTTTAGGTTAGTTGTGTATTCACTTTCCGTTTATAACGAACTTCCACGCTCAGCAACACGAATCGTGCGGAGTTGTTTACATTAGTGAGAGCGAGAAACAAGCAGTGAGTTGTTGTTTTTTGCCGCGTTATGTATGTAAATCGTTTTAGAATGGAAAAATAAAAACGCAAAGCTTTTTCACTAAATGAAAAGTACGAGATTATTGACAAAATAAAAAGTGGAGTAAAGCAGAGTGACATTTGTAAGGAATTAGCACTTGGAAAGTCTAGTGTTGCAACAATATGGAAAAACAGAGAAAACATTTTATCAGCGTATGACAAAACAAATGTTAGATAAAGGAAGTTAAAATTATCTGCACATGAAAAGGTTGACAAGGGACTTATTAAGTGGTTTACTCAAAAAAGACAAGAAAACGTTCCCATAAGTGGCA